TGTAGCCCAGGCTGGTCTCGAAGTGCAACAACCCTCCTGCTTCAGCCTCCCGAGTGCTGGGATGACAGGCCCAGCTAGGGTGAAATATGAGATCCTCCTGCCTCAGCCTCCCGAGTGCCAGGATGACAGGCATGCGCCATGATGCTCAGCAACATGAAGCATTAATTTAACTCCGGGAGAGCTCAGTGGATGGGAGCCGCCCACGCGGGCTACGGCACCTCCGGGTGCTGGGCATTAGCCAGTGTGTGGCCCTTCCCGCCCCACGCCGGAAGCAGAGGGCTCTGTTTAGGGCGGGCCGTCTCTGTGTGGGGGTACAAGATTGTCTGGACATCTTTTTCTTTTCTTTTCTAAGGATTTTGGTAAAGACAGCAACTTCTTGCTAAGTTGCTGAGGCTTGGCTGAGGCTTGGCTGAGGCTTGGCTGAGGCTTGATTCAAACTTGCGACCCTCCTGCCTCAGCCTCCTGAGAGCTGGGCTGATGGGGGCACTGCGTCCTGGTCCTTGTCTCCTTCTGTGCAGCCTCCAGGCACGGGCTGTGGTTGTGCTCTTCTCCCGGCGGGAGGCGTAAGGTTCAGGGCTGAGGTGCGGGTGTGTGCCGTGGCCAGGCTCGGTGGGTGTCTGGGGACTGTGGCCTCCTCCAGGAAGCGCTGGCAGCGCCAGCTGGGCACCGCCGACCTTCCGAAGAGCGTCCCGTGCCGAGGCCCGGCAGCTGGCTGCCCAGGCTGGGCCCTTCCCAACACAGCGGCTGGGCCACAGCGTCCAGGCGGGCCTGGCCAGCTCCGAGGGCCGCGCTGCCCAGCCGAGAAGCCGCCAGGTTGCCTGGAGTCAGCCCCTGCCCGGCACCAGCTCTTGCCTGGACTGAGGAGCTAAGACCCGGACTGCCACTGTGCTGGTTCACGCAGTGCCACATTCTTTGTCTGTTTGTTTTATTTAGTGCTGGGGATGGAATCCAAGGCCTTTGCACTGAGTTCCATCCCCACCTGTTTTATTTTTTATTTTAATTAACTAATTAATTAATTTATTGTCTTTTTGAGACAGGGTCTTGCTGTGCAGTTCAGGCTGGCCTTGAGCTCACTTTGTAGCCCAGGCTGGTCTCTCGAACTCACAACAATCCTCCTGCCTCAGCCTCCCGAGTGCTGGGATTACAGGCCCGGCTAGGGTGAAATATGAGATCCTCCTGCCTCAGCCTCCCGGAGGGCTGAGATGATAGGCACATGCCACCAGGTATAGTTGTCCCCCGTCACAACCCCAGCTTCTATCCCAGAGATGAAGAGCACATGTAGATCTGGGGTGGGGACGTTCATCATTGTCACCCTGTTTTCCTCATCCAACAGCAGTGCTGGGTTGGACGTTGTCTTAAGGATATAAAATGAGACTGAAAAAATACCACACTTGTGCTTGTCTTGAACATTTAATAATAAGCCAGGCGTGGTGGCACACACCTGTCATCTCAGCACTCTGGGAAGCTGAGGCAGGAGGATCTCAGGTTTGAACCCAGCAAAACCCTGGCTCACAATAAAAAAATAAAAACAGCTGGGGATGCAGCTCAGTGCGAAGGCCCTGGGTTCCATCCCCAGGGTTGCAAAATAAATAAATGAATAGTTAAAACGCTATTCCTGGTCATGCAGCAGACACTACATTTATGGGGATCCCTGTGCCCCCTGCGGGCCCATATGTGTGATCACCCTGCCACCTCCACCCAGCGTTGGCACCGCAGAGGCCAGCCCC